TGTTTGTGCGGGCTTTGTTATTTTTCCACAGACCTCTATCTTTCTTGTGTTTGTCTATGGACTTGTCTGCACTGGCCAGCTAAATCAGTGCCGCTGCGATCGATGCAGCGGCATCGATTTAGTGGGTCTGGTGAAGACTCGGTAAGTCGATGGGAGAGCGCTCTCTCATTGTCTTCAGTATTCCACCTCCCAGAGAGGCAGAAACTAAGTTGGCAGGAGGGCGTCTCCTGTTGACACAGCACAGTGTAGACACCGCATTAAGTCGATGTAAATTATGTCGCTTGGGGGGGTGTGTGATTTTTTCACACTACTGAGCGACGTAACTTACATTGAGTTAAGCAGTAGTGGAGACTAGGCCTAAGAGTAAAGTGTAATTGGTTAAGAAGTTGCTCTGCGACATGTGTGTGTGCTACTTGTTATATCTGTCCCAAAGTAGCCAAAGGGTGAAAGGCATTATTGTAGCATTTCTAGCTTGATTTTTAGACCAATGAGGTTGAAGGAATTCAGATAAGCACTGTGTACCAGTAGCCAATGAATACTGGCACTTGTCATAACCTTCAGCTTCTTGCCAGCACTCCTGTATGTCAGATCCTTATTACAACTTGAGGTTTGGATGTTATTTTTTCTGGCTGCATTCCTTTTGCAGATAAATGACATACAGCATTGGAACTGGTGAGACAGAGTGTGGGAAACCAGTGGCAGGGACTCATCCTGTTTTAATATGGGTTTATCCATCATAAAAAGCTCAATGTGTAATATTAAAAAAACCCACAAAACTTTAAACATTGATATTGTTATTATGGATGTTTGCCCAGTACTAAAGCAGGATGGAAAAGACCCACTTCCTACACTGGAAGCTGCCAGTAAAATATCCCTTTTAGCAAGGTATCAATCAGCAACAATAACCTGAGAAATGCCATTTTGTAATTAAACAGATTTAAAAATTCAGTTTACACTTTATTCATAATGAGGCGCATGTCTAACACTGTTAGCTTTCAGATTGCAAAGATAAGCAAAATGGATGCAGTTTTCTTTTAATAGTTTTTTCTGCCTAATTCTGTGATGTGCTCATTAACAGATTGCTGTTGGGCTGGTATAATTTACGTACAGAAGATGTAGTTTATGCGTCAGGACTTAGTCAGGCAACCGTATAATCAAAGGCCAAACATCACTTTTAACTAAAGAGTCTGTTTCTCCTCTTGAAGCACATGTAAAACTTCCATGAATATGTAATTAATAAGGCTATTGCCTGCATAACATAGATATTAAATATGAGGATATTGCCTGCAGAAAATAGACTCCCTAGCATATTATTTTCAATAATATGCAATACAATAGCATGCATTTTAAGCAATACAATGGCTCAGACTTTAGTCTATTTATATGAACTTCACTCGTTATCTACTGTAAAAATGGTCGTACAAGTACTTCCACAGAGAAAATCTAAAATTAAATATGATTTTATTATTGTTTAGAGCATATAACATATGACTGACATTCAATAGTAGGTGACATTGAATGAAATTTTCAAAAGTGCCTCAGGTACTTCGAGGTCTAAGTCGAATTGAAAGTCAATGGTACATAGATTCTTAAGTGCATACGTCAATTTGAAAAATGGGACTTAGGTGCTTTTGAAAATTTTACCCATTGTCTGATACTTCCCTTGATAAATGAAGAGACTCAAGTACCATCTTATTAATTAAAAACATACTTCTAGGAGATGTAGAAAGGCATAATTATACCTCAGTCTCGGGTAGTCAGGGAAAACTGACTAGTTTGTTCTATAGCTGCTTCAATTTTATTTTACTTATATAAATTATAATGTGTTTGTCAAAACAAAAAGTTTTAGGGTATTTAAAAAAAATCAATGTAATATTTCAATATAGCTATATAAAAGCAGGGCCAATTTTTCCTCTTAGTTACACCAGTGTAAAAATATAACATGATAGGAACCTCTGTTATCAACAAAAAATGTCCTATCCTGCAAGCCCACTTTCTCCTGGTTAGTCCCTTACAGGACAATGTGTATAAGTAAGAACTACTTGTGCAAGTGAAAGTTTCAGGACTGGGCCTCAAGGAATTCCCTATTTCAGTTACAAGAGCCGCTGACACCTAGTAAGATTTTCTGCAAAATGACATAATTGAATCCAGCTTTACAAATACCTGTAGGCTCTTATGAAGATGTTTTTATCCAAAAATCAATATAAATAGAATTAGTTACTAGGATATGTTGGTAAACCAATAACAAGGGACACAAGATTTGGATTTAAAATGATTGTCTAAGAAAGTAAGGCAGCCACATTAATACTAGATTTATCTAGATATGTTTCAATAGCAACCTGTATAAATAAAATAAGTCGTAATCAGCAGCCGAGAAACAGCCCAGCTGGTGATTAATCCCCTATTATGATATAAATAGGAGCTGTGATATAGCTTTCTGCAATTAAATGTGACATATTGGAATTAGATTGTATTTCAGGCTTTTAGTACTTTACACCCTTTAATAAAGTTTCATATGGGAAACGTGGGTCTAGATCCTGTGAGGTGCTGAGGTTATTCTCCTTAACTTCAGTGGGAGTTCAGCACACTCAGCTCTTCGGAGGATCAGACATGCTGATACTAATGGAGATATGGTTTATTTTTAGCTTTAATTGTGACACAAACATTGCATGACGAAAAATGTACATAATATGTGTCTGAAAAAGAGCAATTCCCCAGCTGTCTGCCAGGTTGGAGAACCACCAATGGTCATTAATAGAACCATGGGCATTTCCTTACTTATTTACACAGTGTGTGTGTGACATTCACTTTTTATGATAAGCCTGACTTTTACTAGCCTAGTATATAGTTCTCTTGGTATGCAAGCACACCTCCTGTTGAGGTTAAAGTATGCATATTACTCTCAACAAGAGAAGACTATACATAGGTGCTGGAAATAGAGGTGCGTGGGGTTTCCATTATAAACAGGATTTACACCTTGGTTCAATGGCTCTCAGCACCCCCACTATAAAAACTGTTCCAGCACCTCTGAGAATATATGCTCTCCTTGGGTAGCACCCTCCCTCTGTTTACTGATCCATCTTTAGTGAGATTTACTCTAACATTCCAAACCTCTGAATAGCTTTAAACAGCTGCCATCAACTGGCCAGAGAAATGTACTTTTCTTTTCCATAAATGAAGAGTCTGCACCATCTCCCATCCAACCTCCTTGACCTCTAAATACAGAACACTGGCCCAAGGACCATGAGCAACAATATTCAGTCCTGCATAGTGGCAGGTTTGAGGTCGGATATCTTCTGACCCTGGAGAGCAAGAATTGAGCATTTTTATATTATTGGAAAGGGTTGATTCTAATGAAACGCACAGCATTTACCTCCAGCCATGAAATGTACCCAAATATTAGATCTCACAGTAAAGGCAAGCTATTCAGGTCATTCGTTTATAGAAGCGTTTAAATCTAAACTAATTTATTTGGATTTTTCTCCTCCTCTGAGCCCTCTAGAGTTACTATAATATTAAAAAAAAAACTTTCCAAAGCATTTCTAACATTGTTTTTCTATAAAACAAATAGCATATGCAGAAATAGCATGGTATTGTATAAAGCTTTGTGATGACCTATGTCACTCAAGGTTTCATCACTCTTGAGTAACGTGGCCATCCCAGACTCATGCTGATAAAACAATTCTAGCATACTGTCATGTGCTCCCCATCCGTCTGCATGGAGGATGATTACATAGATTCCTTTCATCTTGTTATGCTACTAAATAGAAACAAAACAAGAGGAGAGCTGCTACAGTAAGACATTTTCCAGGGGTCTCTGGCAGCTTTGACCTCCTTCTTCCTCAGATTTAACCTATTTTCTCTTTTGCATCAAGAACAAGCCTTTGTTTATCAATCATGTTACAAGCTGAAAGAAATTCTGAGCTGGATGACAAACACTACTACTTCTTCAAAGTAGATTAGACTTACTGTACTCACATTAATTAAGAGATCAATTACTTATTTGGATTTCTAAAACTGTGCCTATCCAATGATCCAGATACGTGCACATTACACGGTAACAAACCTTACTCATAAATCAGATTGATTATAGACTCTCCTCCACTATGGACATGGCAGGAGTACCGAAAACCACCCTAGTAAATTGCCCATATCCCTTCATTAATCTATCCTCTTCTTGAAAACCTTGGGAGAGAGAAGAGCCTTGTGGCACACCTGGAAATTCAACCAACTTGGACTCTGGCAAACCAATATGGGAAGCACAGTCCGAAGTTGAAGCTATTTAGTGAAAATACCCCAGCAGTTATACCATGGGCTGTCAGTTCAAGTGTTCAGTGTAATAGTTGCCATACCACAAAGAGACAGGCAATTTCTCAAGTAAATAGGCAACATGCCATTTAGAGCTTTCCAGATTAAAACCTAGCTCAAACTGAAGCCAGTACAGACCACAGAGCACTGTTGGGTGCTCCTTGTGGGAAAACCCCATCAAAAGTAGGCAGTCCGCTGAATTGTGCGCTGGATGAGGTTTCCGAATGGTGCTCAGGTGTAGCGAACATTACGGTAATGCAATTCTGAGCTGCAAATACACGGATAACTGACAAGGCCTGTGTCACAACACTTCAGCCAAACACAGATAGAAAGCATTAAGGAAGTAGGGATTTTATTATACAGAAAATCTCTGCAAATTGACTCCCATTTAGTCTACTGTGTGTTTTCACGTAGCACAGCTCTATCAAAGGCTTCTTATCAGGAAATCAGCAATAATTTTGTGGCATTTTTGATGACGCACTACCTACACTGGGTTATGCTAGAGCATGGAGTAGTACTAGTGACATTGCATGGCAGTCTGTCATAATCCAAGTGCTTGATTTAAGAAATGTCACACCTTTTGGGATACAGCTGTCTTGCAATGCCATCAAGTTGGCATTAGCCTCATACCACAGAGAGGCTTGATTGCAAACAGTGCATTTTAATAGGGAGACATCCTGCGTCTCACTCACCACTTTAGGCTTGAATGGCGGCTGAATCTCTCTGTTCTCCAGTTTCTCCCAGTCGATTCTCCTGAAGAATGCATGCTCCCTGACATCTCGCTCCCCCTCAGGCCCACAGCCAAGCCTTTTTGCAGGGTGTTTTGTCATTAACTAGAAATCAGTAAAACACCAAATGATTAAATTGACTTTTGGAATGAAACAGTAACAGACTGTCCACAGGTGGAATTGTTATTGCTCCTCATGTCAAGATGTACCTCAGCAATAAAATCCGTGTGAAAAGCTATACTTTATTTTTAAAGTGTTAATTTCTTTATTTCAAAGCTAGAATTGCCTGTAGGCACGGCAAGTCAAGGCCACTCTTTAAACCCTGCTTTCCTCTTTCGTTACACAAAGGTTACTGATACAGGAACAAATTTAGGCATGGTATAGGTGGGCACAATGGAATTACATCTGCATCCATCGTGTCTGAATTCAGCTCTTGTTACTATTACAACGTAGCCTTGTACATATCCAGAACTACTCGGCTTCAGCAATCAATTAAACTTGATAAATTCCATTACACTGAAACATTTAAAGTACAAGTTTCCTATAATTTTTCTGAGCGTGTTCTGGACAGCGCTTGTCATTTTTTTGGCAGCCTCCTGACAGTAACTAATCTGTGCTTCTCCTCTTACATCCTTAATACCAACTTGATCAATATTAAATACCAGCTGCACAGAGAAACCACACTCACAAAAAGGAGCAATAATGCACACTTATGCGCACTAATGTGCACCCTAATTAGCAAGCTCCTCCATGGAAATGAGCGGTCAATGAGTATAAGCACTGGCAACTAAGGAATGCAGCCCTCACCCAATATTATGGGACTTCTGGAATCTTGCTTTATTCTAGTACAGTGGGTGCCATTAATAAATGAGCATTTACGGCATTTCCTTATTTAATGTTACTGTAATATTTGCCATATTCCCTATCTACAGAATGGGGAATATAAGGAGTGGGATAGTTGTGATAACTACTGCAATAAAACTCTTTAACATTATTTAATTGCACACATTAATAGCAATGTATGTATAGCCAGCATTTAAAAAAAAAATCGAGCCTGAAGTCAGACTCCTAAGTTTGTATACTAGGCAGATAAACAAGTAGCTTGATTTTAAAAAATCTTGTGCATCCAGCAGTCCCTTTTATGTCAATCAAGCCTCTTATTTAGGAGAGAAAATATGAATTTTGGGTTTTAAAGTTTAGTCTCCTTTTGGAGAAAATTTTGCTAGTAAATATGAATTTAGGAGTCAATATCTTGGTACCTATTCTTGAAAAGGATGGTCATATATCTTTGTTCACCTAGTTAAACAAGTCCATGTACATAGATGATCATTTTAACATACTGTGTGTTAACAATAAGAACAATGATACAAAACAGGGAACCAAAGGGATTTAAGGAAACAGAATGTACATTATGTTTGAAACACCTTGTTCTTCAAGCTTAAAACAGCTCTTTACCATTTCTGTTAACTTTCCTAAAATGTGCAATTTGACAGCTAGTGACATCAGAAAGTGTTGCTTATGGTTGTATTAGTATTGAAGACTTGCGAATTAGTTGTATAGTTGCCAACCAGAAGATACAAGCTCAAGAGCAAGCAGGATTCCTTGGTTTTGGCCAGTTGAGGCTAAATATTGTATATTGTTGAAAAGTAAAGCACCATGCAAATAACATTTCCTATCACAAAAATAAGTACTGTAGCAGCGCTGTCTGTACTTGGAGGTACTGCTTTGAATTCTACTCTCCTGGTGTCACGTAGGAAGCTCTGTTGCTGGCTTCTCAGACCACACGTGTGCAAGAAAGGGATTTTAGAAGGGTGCGAAAGGATATAACATGTCTCCTTGGGTCATTTCAATCACAAAAATGTTCCACAGAGATAGCAAAGAAATATTCACCTTGAATGATGGTCTATTCAGTAAGTTCATATGGATTTGAGAGATGTTAACAGGAAATTACAGAGTCATTTCTGTGCTTGACACCTTTCCCACGCTGCTCTGAACTTTCCCTTCTTCAGAGTACTAGATGCTCAGAAAGTATCTTTTGTGAGGAAAATATCTGTCCATTATAGACAGAGGGAATTCCAATAGTTGAGATTTAGGAAAGCCGTTTTTGTCCATTATAAACTGATAGGACCCTCTAACCACAAATATTATGAGGTGAGCATGCTGTACTTTGTTGGATGCACATTTTACTTTTAAATATGTCAGCAGTATCAGACTTTTTGGGTGTGTGTGGGGGGGTATACTCAATCTACTAATAATGAAAAATCTAGAGAGCTTAGTGAGCATAAATGCAGCCGTGTGTGACTCTTGTGGAACATTTGTGACAATATTTTAGCATACTTGGGGAATGCCATTAAAGCAGGAAAAAGTCAACACAAACTTTTCTTTGCTAATTCTCTGCAGTCACATCAATGCTCTCCCCAAAACCCCCATTAAAATAGTCTACAATCAGAGATGACCTTAAGCCACAAAGCTCAGACCTGGATCAGAATTTCCTCACCACTCACTGGTGTTTAGACTGGAGGTTTTCGTTCAGGCTAATTTCTATCTAAATTCTAAAATGACTCCTGTTAATCCACTGTTGTTTGCAGTGATGCTGTAGCCATGTTGGTTCCAGGATATTAGAGAGACGAGGTGGGTGAGATAGAATCTTTTATTGGACCAACTTCTGTTGGTGAGAGAGACAAGCTTTTGAGCCACACAGCTCTGTGTAAACTGATCCAATAAAAGACACTATCTCACCCACCTTGTCCCCCCTGTTCATTCCTTCAGTTCTTCCTATCAGGTCAAACACACAGGGCCCAGTGCTGTAGTGTGCCTCCTGCAAAGTGCTGTGTACCGTCAGCTCCCATTTGGTATCAATTAGAGCTGAGACGGCTTGGCACCTTGCACGATCTGACTCTCAGGCCTGGTCCCCACTTAGTCCGGACTTCGGACTAAGGTACGCAAATTCAGCTACGTTAATAACGTAGCTGAATTCGAAGTACCTTAGTCCGGACTTACCGCGGTCCAGACGCGGCAGGAAGTCTCCCCCCGTCGACGCCGCGTACTCCTCTCGGCGAGCTGGAGTACTGGCGCCAACTGTGAGCACTTCCGGGATCGATCCGGGATCGATTTATCGCGTCTTAACCAGACGCGATAAATCGATCACAGAACATCGATGGCGTGCCGCCGGACCAGCCGGTAAGTGAAGACTAGGCCACAGTGTAGACAATTTAAGAGATGGGAAAGGCGCACACAACCACCCTGTTTGTAGCTTCTGCTTTGTATTTGGCTGCAACGGATTCTGAAATCTTTTCCTACCACAAAATAAACATGCACTGCAGAAAGAGTTGACACTCTTGCAGCCCTAGCCTTTGGCAGAGACCAAGTGAGGATGCAGGCGATCATCCATGTTATCTGCCTAAAAACCGGGCTGGACAGTGTTTATATTTGGAAAAGCCCAGTGGTATAAACTCAGTCAAACACCACAAACTTTGGTTATTTAACACACTCTGTTGAAAAAGGATCCCATGATATAGCAACAACTTGCTTACCCCTTTGCAGATAGAAACAGCTTCTTTGGACAGCGATTTAGGATAGGAAACATTGTGCTCCATTATGGACTGAAAGAGTTCATCTTCATCCTCCCCATCAAATGGAGGCTGTTCAAGGAAAATAAAGAAGGTAAAATTATGTGGTGTTAATTTTAATTCCCTATAAATGTTATTTATTTACTGAAAAGCAGATACATTATTGAGGAGTTTTTCATTTACAATGTACTCGACAATTCTGGTTATCTTTAATTAGATCTTTTTAAAGTTACCTTCCTGTAGCCATCCTAAAACAATCTAATCAGTACATGTTTTAGGCCAGTACTTTCTATGACTTTGATCTAAAGTGTCATGTAATTCCAATGATGTTCCCATTTGATTTAAAGGTAAATAGTGTTTCTGTGAGGGGAAGACAGTGTAAAAAGTACGAGCTACATGTGTGTTTAAAATATGGTGTGAGGATGAAGAAAGCCAGCACAAGATCCATGGGAGCTGCTTAAGTCCCACATAAACCCTGAACTAAGAGTTTAAGTGGGACTTAAGTTTTGCATAGGCCTTCTAGCAGCCCTTTGCACAGCGGTGAATATCATCCAGAAAGAACACTCCAAAAAAGAAAGCACCACTTAGTTATAAAGTACAGAGACAAGAACTCATGCAAACAGATATATGTTTACAGATTGCTGGGCCTAATCTTATGTTTTTTGAAGACATATTCAAGGCAGCTATCATAATTAAAACAAATGTTGATGCATTTATCTGCAAACAAATCTACATCTTCCGAGAAGCCCTGGAGGAATTACTTAGCACTTAATTATCAGAGGGGTAGCCGTGTTAGTCTGAATCTGTAAAAAGCAACAGAGGGTCCTGTGGCACCTTTGTTAGTCTCAAAGGTGCCACAGGACCCTCTGTTGCCTTTTAGCACTTAATGTAAATGCAGAAAATCCTAATAAGATAATGCTCTACAAATGATGTAAGACTCAGTAAATACACAAGTATATCAGACTTCCTCAAGAATAAGGAAACAAGAAGCTGGGATCTCCCAACATTATCCGACACAGTGGGATTCTACATTTCTAAATTCTCCAATTTATTCTGAATTATTATCAGTAATTTTGGTGGGTGTTTACATGCAAACCCAAAATTGTAGATAAACCCACAGAACTCATCTGTAGAACATCAGATGTTTCAGTACTGTTAAATATCTTAAGATTCTCACACACCTTTTCTCTGTCATAAAATACAAAAATGTTGAGGCAACAGAACAATCTGCAAGTAACTGGAGATGACCACAGATCAGACGCACGGTGATCTTGGTAAGAATTTGAAAGGAAAAAGAATAATGGACCAGCACACAGTATTCAGTTGTTACACAAGAAGTCAAGAAATCTACTGGGACTTAGCCTGGGAAGGAATATCAGAGGCTGGCTACATATTGTAAATATAGGAAATTCTGTGGTAGCTTCAGCTCTCTCTCTCTCAGGAGAATCACTTACATAAATCTTCCCCACATCACGAGAATACCAGAGCTCTTTAGAGTTGGTTTGTTACCTTCAACTAAACTTTGCAGTCCAGGACCTGCTTTTCCAGTTGTGTAATTTGGTGACTAGAATCCCATCACGTGTGTAGAGAAAGGGCTCTGTAATCAACTGTGGTTTGAACAGCAAGCCCTGGGCTTTGCCCCCATGCACACAATACAAAAATACTGTCAGGATTCTGTGCTTTAACTTCCATGAAGAGTATCTAAAATCTCTGCTATTATGTTTCCGGGGGTTCCTCTCCCAGTTGCACAATACTTCTTCCATTTATTATGCGCTGCCTTGTAAAGTTCCTCTCATTAGATTTTGAAGAATAGCAGCAATATAATTCTTACCTGACCAGCTAGCATCTCGTATAACAGCACACCGTAGGCCCACCAATCTACTGATTTTCCATAGGGCTGATAAGCAATAATCTGTGAAATAATGAAAATAAAAATACCTGTGTTAAATACGGTCAGTGGTGAATCAAATAAACATCAACTTATGGAGACAAATACATGCCACTGAAATGCATAGAGAACCCAATCCTGTCATCCTTAATAAAGCCAAATCCCACTTGAATTTATGTATCTTACAGCACAGAATCCAGATCCGTGTGTTAGAATTGTAGGGCCAGATTTACAAAGGTATTTAGGCACCAAAAGAGGCAAATTGGCACCTAGAAGTATTTACCAAAGCACCTAAAGCAGGTTAGATGCCTAACTCTCATTAAAGCCAATGGGAGTTAAGTGCCTTTGAAAATCTCACTAGGTGCCTATTTGCTTCTTTAGGCATCTAGATACCTTTGTAAATCCGGCCCTTCGAAGATTCAGGATGCGCTTTTGAAAATAATGAAGCAGGTAGAGTAATGCTACACAGAAGACCAGAATGATTTCATCAAGCCATTCATATTAAAGAAGCAAATCATCATCTGCACTTTATTCAGAGGGTATCAACAATTCAGAGTTTCATTTCATTACTCTGTAATATTTACATTTTGTCCCTCTCTAAAAACAGGCAAAAATCCCCAAAGTATGAGCAAGACCTCTGAAAATCTCAGCGTTGTTTTACAATGCTACACAATTCTCATGCTCGTCGTCTGAAACCAGTTATGCCAACAGGAAAGGGGTTTCTGCCATTCAGACTAATGACAATTTCCAAGTATTTTGCACCCATGGTTTATTTTAAAGGTGCATTGGAGCATACAGTCGGTTACAGTCTCAGCTCTAAATGCCATTTCAGTTTAACATCATTTGTTTGTATCTTTACTGTTATCGATTTCTAGTAATTCTGAAGAGATTACCTGTCCCATTTTTTTCCAGTAAAGGGAATGTTCTGAAACATTCTTGGATATTTTTCCTAGAATACAGGTCTCTCCTATTTAATTTGGGGGCAAGTCTAGTTGACCCTGAAGCCATAATTCGTCTATTTCAGAGGAATAATCAATGAGATATTGTCCTTTCACCATTAAACATCCCTTAATTTAGTCTCCTTTTCCTGCTACTATGTGTTTTTCATTCTCTGTGAAACAAATTGCTAAGACTAGTGCAGATCACACACCCTAGGTTCTCAGCAGTCTGGTAAAGGAATTAAACCGGCTATCTGTAAGGAAAACATTTAATTATCAGTTCAACAAAACAGCGCTATGTAGCCACTACACAAAGACTACAGAACCTATCTGAAAATTATTGTCTTCACTAGGGTAATAACAGGACATGATCTGGAAGTTAGCAGTCTCTCTCTTAGCAAAGAAACTCAAAATAAGTCACTCTCTGAAATACATTACTCATGAGTTAGCAGCTGCAATGTATCTAAGAACATCTAAATTACAGTGTTTGTATCTTAACCTTACTGTAGAAAACTAATTTTTAGAATACAGTGTATTTTTTTTTCTCAGTGGTAACTGCTATTAATATCAACCTCTAATTAAACTAACAATCTAGAAAAAATGGAGAAGAATTTTAAAGAGCTCCTTTAAATTGTGGGGAAACATGTAAATCACTGTATTTAAGCTCGGAAAACGTCTAATGGTCAGAGCAGGGGACTGGGAATCAAGACTCCTGGATTCTATTCCCTCACTTTGTATAGTAGATCATATGTCATTTGTGTTTTCTGTACCTACCTCCTTCTCTACAGTTAGGCATAATGAAGTTGCTGCTGGTACTTAAATTTAAATTCTAATATAGGTTTATCGATATGGTAAAATTGAAATGCAAAAGAGTAACCTGCCATGTTAATTTGCTAACCTGCCAATCACTCACAGAGAAACTGGCAGCTTGGTTCACACATAACAAATTGAAGCTATTCAAAGCATTAATTGGGAAAGTAATGGGAAAAAATCTGGACTTCAAAGAAGGGCAATAATTTGTGGGGGCAGGGAAGGAGTGCAGTTATTTTGGTTCAGGTTGTGCAAGATATGTAGGGAAGGTTCTCGGTTTTTTGGCTTTACAGTCATATAAAAGTCAAACTCACTCACCAATTAGTAATTGTACCCCATTGTCCTGGACACTGTGCACACACAATAAAAGGACAGGTCCTTACCCTTAAGAGAGAAAAGTCCTAAAGGAAAGCATATTTCCTCTAAAGGGCTGAAACTCTTCATCACTGGATGTAATCTGGTGAGTGTGAATGGACTGCTGTAAACTGCAAATGGCACAGAGTCAGTACTGAAATGCCACTATTTTGTGCCTGGGCTAGTTTCCTGCTTCACTGTAGAATCACAAACACTTAAAATGAATTAGTTCAATATTTCAAGTAACTCCCTCCTTCAATAAATTCTTGTCATTAAAATGGTTGTGTACTGTGAGTCCATTGCCCCATTCAGTCTCAGGCCTGGCTGCTTTTCCGTGGTAGGTGAAAAGATCCGTACACAGCGTGTGAATTCTGGGATCCTTTTGGGTACAAAGTGAAATATAAATACAAATGATCCAATAAAATGACTGCTACTGCTATAATAAATTCAGCTTTTAAACGGAATATGTATCCCTGCCATAAGCAACAGTCAAAGCCCACTTTTCCAGCACTCAAAATAGTTATCAACCTGCCATACTCCTGGCAGGTACAAGTTTGGTTTTTTTTTTTTGTACATTGAAAAAACCCATTGTTTTGGGGTTCTCTCAGAATCAACCTTTCAGTCACCGCAAGGATTCTAACTCTTGGGATTTCGTTTTGTGCCCAAGAGAGAAGTTTGTGCTAAAAGCGATTAGAAACCTTTCTTATTAATACTGGTTTTGACATCCATCTCCCTCAGTCTCTGGTGACCAGCCAAGGAGATACTGCAGCATTAGTCAATTTCAAGGTTATTAGACCAATACAGCCATAAATATTTATATTTCAGCTCAGCCCAATAATGAAAATTCCATACAGGATAATCAGTTTACTCCTGCCTGACAGAATTGGCTGCACCAAGCATACAATTATTTTAACCTTTGCACAGTTCTCAAATCTTGAACCTATATGTTTAAAAATACCCCCTTTGTCCAATGTGCACTATACGTGAGCTAAAAAAATGATGCAAAATTTCCTAAGACAAATAAAGGAAATCCATTATGTTACAGTACCGCATTCATTCTTGACCTGGGAATCATGACCCTTCCCTCCCCCAAAGACAGTGGGTTCATGAATAGGTATCAGGGGATCATGACTACCATGCCCTTTCCGTATTGCTAAAGGAGGGTGGGGGAGGACGGAGGAGAGAGGGAGAGAGTGGCGATGGTCCATCAAGAACTTGACTGCGTGGGACTGGAATCCTGGCATGGAAAACGCTGGTAATCACTGCTGTTACGGAAGAACCAGGCATAAGAGTGAATTTGGTCTCATGCTGGCCTCCCCTTAAGGAGAGAAGAAATTCTCTCGATCCAAGAGGGTGCAGTGTTTTTGATTTTTAAATTCCTCATTCTATTTTTGCATCTCATCCCTCCAGAAGCTTTTCACAGAAGCCACTCCCAAGATGGTTGGATGATTGGTCCCCTCCTCTGCTGAAACCACTGTTTCCCTCTTTGACTGACTGGAAATGGGAAGATTTAAAATCAAAAGCCTCCCATGAGAATTCATCTTGATATTTATAATTTTGCTTTGAATTCAATTAGGTTCTATTGCTGAACATATAAAGACACTTTGGATGTATCTGATACATTTCAGTTATAACCTACTGTAAAATCTAGACCACTGGGAGGCCTTAGAACAAACATGCTGAAATTCCTTTGCCAGCAAAAGGGAATGAGATAGTATGTGCCTTGGTATTCTTATTCATTATTTGTACTACCCTAGTGCCAAGGTGGCTTACCACTGGTTTATACTAAAGCTGGGATCGACGCTCTGAGATTGATTCACCGGTGGTTGATTTAGCGGGTCTAGCAAAGACCCGCCAGATCAACTGCAGATCGCTTTCCAGTTGACACCTGTACTTTACCCCCGACGAGAAGAGCAAGGTAAGTCGACGGAAGACCCTGTGGTAACTCAACCTAAGGTACGTCGACTCCAGTTACGTTATTCATGTAGCTGGAGTTGCGTAGCGTAGGTCGACTTACCGCGGTAGTATAGACATAGCCTTAGACATAGACAAAGACCCCATTGTTCTAGGTGCTGTACAAATACAGAAAAAGACAGTCCCTGCCCCCAAAGACCTTATAATTTAACTCATTATGCACCTTCAAAAAATCCCTCCACAAAACTCTTCTCTGCTGTGATGCCTATAAAAAACTTGACCTGGTTAGGCCACTGGTGCACCAATACCACTGCCTGGCTTTGAGGCTCATCGCATAGTTTTAGATAACAATTCTTCCTCCAATGTCACGTCCTCAGAAACTAAGGCAAAGCAGTCAGCTGAAAAAGACACGCATGCTCTGAAATCTAATCTATACAAATAGTATTTCCCCCCAGTTACAGAAAGTTGTGGTAAAAGGACAATTTCTTCATATGAATTAAAGTGAAAATGCACCATTTCAACTGTACATTGACCATGTTTTCTCTGACTTTAGCTGGCACAAGAATGTCACCCATAGATATGGCACTATCTTCTTTGTGTTCTTTGCTATATTGGCTTCATTTGCATTTGATGGGAAAAGGTGAAATGCTGACCTGGGTTATTCTGATCTCCTGCTGCAAGTAACAGCAATTTATGAAAACACAAGGTCTGTTAACATTTTACATAGGCACAGACTATTAACTGTGAGAAGAAAACAACCTGTCTCACTTGCAATTTCAGGAAAGTGCCAAAATTCACATTATACAAGAATGAATATTTCCCCCCACATATAAATCGTACGTGCTTTAACAAACATTAAATTATAGCTGGAAATGCTCCAATCAGAGATGCATTTTAACTAGTGGTCAGTAAAATAGGCTGCCTTTTGGATCTGGAAGAAATTCCTTTACCCAGAGCCATAGATCTAATGATGGAGATGTGGATTGTGGCTTCCGAGTTATGGTTGTGTTGAGATTTGCAGGGAAAACAGGATTTAAATCAGTGCTCTTGAATTTAGGCTCCATGCTCAATACACAAACAGCAGAGCCTAATACTCAGATCTTCAAATCACTTAATGACCACAGTCCCTCATTTCTCATTTTGTCTTATAGCTAATATAACTATATCTCTCGGTATCACATCTTCATTTGGCACAGGCTGGAATTAAGGCTGGGGTTTCAGCACTTGGTTGTGAGTATGCCGAGTAGCTGCATGCTGGAGGTGAGGAGGTTACGTTTTTGAGCCGAGCAGTCGGAGTATGTGTGGGTATTGGAATGTTTAATTGGTAAGACTTATACATTGTAGTTCTGAATATTCATATTGCTGGAAATTTCCTTGATTTTTTTAGTAATTGTGTTGATGCACTTGAGCTACCTTGCCGTAATAACTTAATTAAGATTTTTGGGTGGAGACAGGTAAAGTAAACTTTTCTCATTATAAACCCTGACTATAAATATCTGACTAAAAGTTGCATTGAATAAGTCAGACAGATGTTACTTTTGGGTAACCCCGACAATAGTAATGGGAAATTTGGGGGAAAACTTTAGATTTGTTACATCAACTGCATCAAAGTTCTGAATTTGCAGTTTAATAGGAGGAGCTTTCTCAAATCCAAAGGTGATAGCCCAATTTTGTACCAGGTGATAGGATATACATTATCCAGAATACAGGGCAGAAGCTTTGCAGGAAAGCTGGTGAACCACTGCAGGAATTCAGTAATCTCTTGTTGAAAATTGAGACACTCGTGAGTTCCTGAAAATAGTGCAAATGCTTGTTAATATATTTTATAGCAGCAGTGAGAACCCTTGGTGAGATGCGTTAATGAAGCTATGTTTGCTCCCAATAACAACCTCATTAACATCTGTCAGCATTGTATGACTTTAAAATTAAATGGCACACAGCTTTTTATATGCATGCTTGCTACAACTTTAATGAAACTGGATTGACAGTTCAAGCTGGTATTATGGCTTCCTTAGCAGTTTGTTATTATGAGCACAAATTTGAATTTCAATCTGATAAACAAACAATGCTTCATGAGCTAGATATTCCCTAAATAAAATTTTATTAATGGTCTTTTTTATTCATTCACAAAAGTATTACATCTTCCTGCAGAAGCAAGGACAGTCCCACGCATAAAAGAGCCATTTTGTAGCTGTCATATATTCACTGGGTGAAATGTTCACAAAATCCTTTTGAGAGGTCGTATGCTAC